AGGGGACGAGAGGAGAGGAGAGGGCAGGGGAGGAGAGGAGAGGAGAGGAGGGCAGGGGAGAGAGGAGAGGGCAGGGGAGGAGAGGGGAGGAGGGGAGGAGGGGAGAGGGGAGAGGGGAGAGGAGAGGGAGGAGAGAGGACAGAGGACAGGACAGAGGAAAGAGGAGAGAGGAGAGAGGAGAGAGGGGAGAGAAGAGAGGAGAAAAGAGAGGAGAGAAGAGAGGAGAGAAAAGGAGAGAAGAGGAGAAGAGGAGAGAAGAGGAGAGGAGAAAATAGAGAGGAGAAGAGAGGAGAGAAGAGGAGAGAAGAGGAGAGAAGAGGAGAGAAGAGAAAAGAGGCGAGAAGAGGAAAGAAGAGGAGAGAAGAGGAGAGAAGAGAGGAGAGGAGAGGAGAGAGGAGGAGAGGAGAGGAGAGGAGAGGAGAGAGAAGAGAAGAGAAATACCACCTATTTCCCCTCATTTTCTTTCGGGAATGGCATAAGAGCGGAATACGAGGTTGGGGACTTGTGGTCTTATCGTACAGGCTTGTCATGTATTGCATGATTTTATAGATAAAAATCGACCATTCAACACCCCATGCCAGCCATCTTTCATTGTTTTCATTTCCAGGTGCTTTATTTGGCTCTCCTTTCCATGGGGTACTGGCTCACTAAGATGGGTCCATGATACCCTGGTATGCCAGGATAAAACCCCAAAACCGTCCTGGCTCTATGCTGTATGAGGTCGATGGCGAGTTAGCTCCTGTTGTGCAAAGCCATTGTTCCACTTCAGGTGTTTTCTCTGTGTACACCAGGACAGAACCTGCTGATGGTCCAGACGCAAGCAATTTAACTTCAAAAATCCCGTATCGCTCTGATCGAGATCCATCCAGTAGCGAGCATACTGTGCAGTGGGCATGGCCTGCCCTCTAGACCTGGTCCTTGTCAAGCCCGAGCACTTGTCCTCTATCTACGTCATTCCCAAGTCTACAGCAGGTACAAAGAGATGCAGACAGGGCACCAAGGCACTGTCCTCTATCTATGTCAGAATGGTGCCAAGGGTACACGTCTACCCAAACCACAGACCTTGGCCCCTACCAAAGCCTGTTTTAGGTTATCGTTGTCACCGCCTCGTCCTTGAGAGCGGAATGCTTTGCAGGGGCTAAACATGGAACAGTATGGTATTGATTGCGGGAAGAAAAGGACTTCCAAAAAAAGAAAAAGCTTCATGATCAACAAAAGACAGAGCCACATAGGGTTAGCAATCAATGACACTGGTTTATCCCATAGAAGGCCGAGTGTGTATACCTGCTGTCCTCAAGATCCAGAAGCCCTCTGCACACCTCAATCTCCCTTGTCAAGGTCTCTGTCCACCAAGCTGTATCGGGAGATCCATCCTGATTTGCTCCTCGCCTATCGTTCCCGAGAATGCCGGTCGCAGACCCACAAACTGTCCTCGACTGCTTTCTTTCCTCCATGAAGTTACAAAAAGACAGCCACCCACCTTCAACTGGCTTACCTAAGCGCACCTCCTCTGGCCATGGACGTCCATTATTCCCTCCTGCTAAGACTGTCACGTCCTCTTCAGCCGAAGAAGCTCGATCAACATAAAACGAATATTGTAAGGGCTTACCACAGACATTATCATCAGGTGAACATCTCTCATGAACCTTGACCTGGTTGACTTCAACATCAATCTGCCAAACTCCTGAGCTGTCTCCAATGACCTGCTCAGAGATGTCCAGTTGTGCAGGCGCCTCCTTCTTTGATGACATATTCCAACCCTCCAACACCACACAACCTCTCCAGACCCTTGAGGAACCCCCACTCCGTGTGCCCAACCCTTCCCATACACAACCTGTCCACCCATTGTGATCGCCTACACGATTAGATATCCTCACTTTCACAGCTTTCTCCAAGCCTGCAACCGGCACGTTGAAAGCTAGCAACATGGGAGCCCAAGCCAACTTGACAGCACTAGAGTTGTCAGGGTTGAGGCCTGCCTTCCACCAACCTCCCTCTCTTTCTCTGTTCTTGGTGCTGCCATTGAACGGATTGCTAAGCACTTCGCTCTTTGAAGTGGTTGTGGGCATTGATAAGCGTGTACCTGGAGGTGGCCAGACAGCAATCACACTGGGCAAGGCTGTAGGAACAGTCTGACCAACTAACCAGGAATGGTACATCCACACACTCTGGTCATCAGGCTCTGTGAACAGCCCTTGCTGGATGAGGTCGAACTCCTCAGTGAGCCATTGCCTTGTCTCCTCGGAATCATGCTTGTAAGAGTCTCCCTTGTCTATCTGAGGTAGCAAGTAGCTAGACGTCACCCAGCAGGAACAAATGGATATGATTGTTAGCCACCCTATTCACAGGGGCAGAAGGGTTCCTCTAACTTTCTCATTGCTTCAGACCTTCTATACTTCACCACAATCAAAGGGTTCAGAACACACACCATCCACACCGAAACAATGGGGTAGTATCTTTGGCACACGTGATTAACGGGGGACCCCCAGTTTCAGCTCCTGAGTAACAGGTCCAAAACTGAAATTAGGCTTTGGGGGTGAAATTTTATGTGTTTTTTTTTTTTTTTTTTTTTTTTTTGCCTGTTTTTGTCTTACTTCAAGGTTGTTGTATACCAAATTTGGTCTCATTTGGAGCATTGGAATTTCCTCTGATAAGACCATTTCCAAAAACGCTGAAAATTCTGAAAATTCGCTGAATCCAAAATGTCATTCAAGTGCACTTTTGCACTACTGTTTCACCCTCTTTTTTTTCTTTTTTTTCGTTTTTTTTTAATGGTTTGTTAATATGGTATGCACTCTATGGAATGATGCAATTTTCGGTTAAAAAGGGCTTCTGATTTTATTATAAATAGCATTAAAAAAACGCTGAAATTTTGGGTCTCCGTTAACTGCCTCTCATCTTTGGACAAGATGCAGCTTACTGCAAAGTATAAGAAAAAAAAAACTGATGCAATTTGTCCAATAGTTACATAGGGTGCTTCCGACTAATATGCGAATGCTTAGAGAACCGCACAGGCCAAAAGGGACAAGAAACAGCAAGCTCTGACAAACTGCCTCAACAGACTTTCACCGACTCGTCAGGAGCCCGAAACCTTAGCAGTCTGCAGAGTCCCCTACCCGACTGATGATACCGTAAGCGATAATCGCCTTAACCTCAGTTGCAAACCCACAACAGATACCCCTAGGTGGGCACCAACAACCGCCCTCTGGGATAACTGTGATGGGCAAAACTGCAACAGTGCCATCCAGTCCAGCAATAGCATTCCAAAGAGATGAATCCACAAACAGATGGAAAACATTCAAGGTAACAATGATTCCCCAGTTTCCAAAAGAATCTCCAGTCAGACTTCAAATTCCAGCACAGTCGTGCTGTAATTCTGCTGCCAAATACTCAGTCAGATCTTGTTCTGTATACTGACCTTTTCAATGACTTTGCACAACCGCGTTGGCATGGCATGCTCCCAGAATATCTACTCATTCCTTACTCTGTGTTATGCACAATTGAGATGTGCAGCTCTACTACTCACTCAATCTGGCAGAGTGAGCCAGCAAAACCTGCACTTATGGTATGCCATCTGGAGGGTGGTAGGTGAAACGCCTGGGAGGATTGAAGTCCTTGAAGATCTAATGCGAGATGAAGAGCAGAGTGCTAGTCAATGGTAGATGGCTACCGTCTTCACCCGAATACAATGAACGCAGTACGGTCATTATTGCTGCATCTAGACTCGAAGTTGCCCCAAATATACAGCTATAATGACCGTATGTTGTATTCGGGTGACGACAGTAGGAGAAAAATGAGATCATGGGCCAAGAGTGCTAGCTCTGAGGAGAGGGAGCAGACAGCTCCAGTTCTTGGAGAGTGGGTGTCAGCTCAACCACGAGTTGATTCTGTAGAACAAGCTGGCAACTAGAAGACATCAGGAGAAGGAATACGTGCTAAGATTAGGGTTTGATGCTTTGTTCATGATTTCTTTTCCACACACTCATCTTTGGGGAGTGAGTGCTATGGTCCGCAGTGCCAAGCGAGCAATCACAGCCTATTCTGTGATGAACTGGGTTCAAAATCCGCACAGACATAGGCCAGGTTCGTCACTTTTGGTCCAAGTCATGATTCAGGTGTCGAAGTCGCGTCTCTAGTCTTAGAAGGGTCTGAGAAAAGTCCTAGGGTCAACGGGAATAGGGTCCAGCCCTACGTGAGATAGCTGACTCTCAGAAAATCAAGAGCCAGGCCTAACCCGGGAAGAGCAACTAAGAGGCAGAGATTCTCAGCAGTCAACCTACGGCCATAGATCAGATGCACAATCAAAGGCGGCCTGCATTTGTTCCAGAAAATTACAGGGCCTACCGGATCCAGGCACACTGAGGCCGACAGCAAATCTGGGCCGCCCAGACCGAGAATCTCAACCGGCGGAGGAGGCAAGCTGAGGCACACCAAGGCCAGTCAAGGCTACAAAAGAGCGGCCAGCCCCAGCGGCTCATTCATTCTGCCTTGCAATGCGCTGCTGGCCAGAGTGCTGCTGGGCGAGGTGGAGAAGAGAGGAGGCTGGCGCCAGACAGAGGAGGACAGCGCCAGCCCAAGGACGACAATGAGAGTGGTAGCAATAGCTAGGAAGGGCTCCCTAATGCCATTAGAGTGAGGAGGATGGTGATCAGGACTGTGAGAAAGAGAGAGGGTAAGAGAGTGGGAAGCTTACCTGGACTTACATAGACGCTGGGATACTGGAGCCGCTGCTGATCTCATGAGGAGGTTGAAGAAGGCTTGTGCCAACCTCCATAGGCAGCATTAAAGCTATAGGTTGGGCGCCATAGTTGGTACCTCCAGAGAGACTGCAACACCCTGACGGGCTCATTGCGATTCAGTTGAGGGGAATTATTCTTTTTTCCTTTTTTTAAAAATGGACCATTTCTCGATTTATGCGGGTTGTCCTTGTGCAGGAGCCATGCTAATCTTCTCTGTATCATTCCAATTTTAACGGATTACGTCGTAAACTGCAGAATGGACGAAACTTCACAAAAAATCCAGAAATTCCGGTCTATTGATGCTGTGTTGTCTTGCATGTTTGCATGTCTACACGTTTGGACACACGGTCTCAGGACAATCCCCATTGATGCTATGTTCGCGATTAGAAAGCATGAACCTGCTCGAAAAATGGTCACATCCACTCTCCTTTTTTAGTATAAACACAGTGTTGCACACGCCGACCGTCGGCGACCCCTGACTGATCGGCACCTACCGGTCGGGGG